AGGAACCGGATAAGAATGCCCCGGGATTTTGTCACTGAAACTAGGATGAGTGGGATCAATTCCAGTATCAATAAACCCTATAACAACTCCTTCTCCTGCATACTCAGAGCCTCCTTCACGGAGCCAAGCTCCACGTGGTAAACCTAAGAACTGTGGCGTGTGAGTGGTTGCTTTCTTAACCGGAAAATCCAGAACCACATTGTTCACTTCCTCTCTGGCCGCGAGTTTATCAGCCTAAAGAAAGAAAAAAAACGGTTTTCGAACAATGAGAACAAACACTAACATTTAGAACATTCACATACTGTTTCTTAAGAAAATTAGAGTTGAGAGTACCTGTTTTTGAGTAATAATCGCAGAAAACCCATTGATGAGATAGTGGTAGCTGTAGAGCTTAATGTAATTCTCGTTTCTCAACACTTTTCTCAACAATGAATCGTGAACTCTAATTATAGAAGCGCTTCGGTTCCTATATGTATAAACAAAGAGATTAATATCCCAATTAGAGAATAAAAGGTTTGAACTTGGAGCACAAATTCATCAGGCATGCCTTTATATCCGTTGAGACTTTCAGGAAAAGACCAAAGACACAAGCGACAACCAATCTGGGACCCCAAAATTGACGAATTTCAACATCTATCGGACCATGTCTCGATTGAGAAAAAAACCAAACCTTGTCGGAAAAAATCAACGGCAATTCAACGGAATTTTGAGAGAAAGGAAAAAAAAAAACATTGCGAGGAAATCAAAACCTGGATAAAGATTGAATCTTTAAAGAATGAATGGAAGAAAGGAGGTTTTTTTCTCCTACATACTGTGTCTTGTAGATTTGAGATGAAGTAGATGTAAGGCCGTGTTTGGAGCCACTCGTTTCGCTGCCGGAAGAATGAACAGATGGAGGGTGTTTGAGAGTAACAATGTATACAGCAGAAGAAGAAGAAGCGGTAGCGTTTTGGTCGGAGTCATCCGAACAGAACACAGAGGACGAAACCAAACAGAGCACAAACACGAAACGCACAAGAGAAGACACTCCCATGATTCTAGAGCAAAATTTCTCAGAAGAAAAAGGGAAAACAATGGAAATTGCAGAAACCCATTAGAGCTCCATTAGAGTAGAGTAGAGTAGAGTAGAGTATCTAAGAAGCAGAGAAAGGAAGAAGAGAGAGGAGAGAGAAAGAGTTATTAAGAGAGTTTTAGAGAGTACAATGGTCTCAGAGGTACTTTTGCCTGAAGAAAGAAGAAAAAGCCTTACTCGGTTTCTGAATGTTTTATTAATGCAAAGATCGGTGGAAGGACTTTTAACATCTTCTCATTTGTAGTTTCCATTTGTTTCCAAGTGTGTTTTATGCTTTGTAATGCATCTATTTAGCCATATAAAAATGATCGTCTTTGTTGTCTTCTAATTCATTTTTGTCCATATTCTTTCTTTTATGCATTTGTTTATGAAAATGGCATAGAACTTCATTTATTTGGCACACATAAGTAGGAGAAAAAAAAAATTCCAAAACCCCACATTTCTTGTTGTTTTTACATTACTCAAAATCTTGCGTTCAAATGTTCTACTAGTGGTTAAAACAAGACAACAAGTGAAAAAGTTCACATACAAAAAGTTTTTAGTTTTAACGTTCTACTAATCGTTAAAACAAGACAACAAGTGAAAGTGTTCACATACTTTAAATTCTTTATTTGTCTTTTATCTTTTAGGTGACGTTTTGTCTATTATCCAACGGTAAGATTCTTTGAGAAGTCGCTTTTGTTCTTCTTCTTAATAGCATCCGTGACTCTCTTTTGACCATTTTCAGCCACTATAGCAAAACCGATCACACCATAACGAATTTATCCAGACCGGTTCACACCAAAATACTCATCCCTCGCAGCATATGGGGAAAAAAACCAAGATTTTAACTTTTTCTTACTAATCTACTTCTACGAGTATACATGTGCTTTATTCTAGAAACACATGAGATGAAAAGAAAAAAAAAGTAGTATAAAGCAATGATTATTACCACATCAAAAGAAGTAGGGTCCGACTTATACTTTTAACCTTTTAATTAACACGAGTCATGACTCATTAGACTCGCTTTACATCATTGTATTTTACACGTTGGTTTCAACTCATACTAACACTAAATAGTCTCTCCTTTTATGGTATAGACCTTACTCACATGATCCGGTAATCTGACCAAACCGGTTAACTCAAAAAAAAAATTCTTGTTTCCTCACTGAACCGGACAATGTGCATTCTTGATTATCCATGTCAGAATCTACACACACACACACACAAAAACGATTTTTAGTATTTTCGGCAATGGACAATAGTTTTTGTTTACCAGTATTGTATTCTTGTGATGAAAACACAAAAAATGGTTAAGGTACAGAGATGTGCATAATGTTCTTACAACTTGACTTTGAGGGACAAGAACATTTGAAATAAACGACAAACCATCGTCTCAGAGTCAGAGAATGTTGAGATGCTTCATTTTTCTCACTGAAAGAGTAAAAAAAATAGAGGCGGTATATGTTTGTTAGAGCAAGAACCGGAAAGAGAGACTGAAATGCATAAAGAAATCAACAAGATGGATACAATTATAGCTCAGTATGATGATGCTTGAACATAAACACACAAAACTTTCAAAATGTAACTATGCAATAACATATATAAAGTCCCATTTCAAGGACTTCTTAAGTCCTAATCTCACACACAATACACCCATGGGAGAGAGAGAGAGAGAGAGAGAGAGAGAGAAAGAGATGAAACAGAGAATTAAAAGAACAGTGATTAAGGTGAGTTTTTCCATACACAGGTATGACAAAAAGTACTAGGAACAAAGCCTTGCACCGATTGGCCTCAAAAGCAGAAGCTATAAAACTGATAATTATGTGGATCAAGTGGAACTGAGATTAGTACCAGTTTCCTAAAAGGCTGATCTTGATCATACCATCCAATGTCAGATTAAGAAGATATGTAGAGTTGCAAATAAGCCTCTCGTGGGGGCATACACTGGCCTGATCCAAGAATGCCTCGACTCGGGAAACATCAAGAACGCAGGTTACATCTTCGATCAAATGAAGGAGGTCTGTAACCCGAACCTAGTCACTTGCAACATATTGCTAAAAAAAAACCAAAAATGAGACAAATTAAAACATTTCAGTTATTGAAATTCTAACGTAGAAAAGGCTGTTTGTTATGTTGTGATTTCTCTGAAATAGAAGAAAGTGGTGAGGGAGAACTGAGAAGGATATCAATGTGTTAACATCTAAAAAAAGAACAAAAAAATGTATGTGAAGCATTGCTGCTAACTGAATAGATCGAGTTTAAACATGATTAATTTTTTTTTTTTTTTGACATCAAACATGATTAATTAGTTGAGAGGATATGAGAATATGAGATGATAGCAAAGTTTCTCCAAAGATAATTAAAAGAAGAGAGAAGACTCGAGACTCAAACTCAATTCTTAACTATAGTTACTAATTCAAATTTTTAATTGATACTACTAATTTCAACAACTTACTTTAAATATTCATATTTCATCGTAACTTAACTTCTAAAGTTTTGTTTCTACTCCTCTCGACAACAACATTTCGACCGAGTGAGACTACAACTCCGGGAACACAACATAGCAATGATTTCCATGTTCTACGCTTCTTTTGGAAATCTATATATATATTTAGGTGGAATATATTAGGGAATATATCCTTTGAGGTGGAATATAGTAAGAGCATTTCCATCAGTGATTTATAAGAGGTTTTTGGCACGTTAACATATGCAAACAGAATTAAAAAAAAAATCGAAAAACCCAAAGCTATGAACCACTTCTTAGCTAAAAACTCGAAAATATGAGTTCATAAACAATGTGTTCAATTCTAATTAGACAGAGTTGATTTTTTTATTTTTTAATCAAAACTTTATGCTTTTTTTAATAAAAAAATTATATAAATAATTCAGCAAACCCTAATGAAGGATTCACTGTTGGAAATGGTCTAAGAGCCTCTGATTCTAACAATTCTATTTACGATGGAGGAATCAGTCATATTGACAAGTGTGATTTGGTAGACATCCAAGATTAAGACGTGGTTAGTATTTTGTTCGTCCTTCAAAGTGGCTACGTAGCCATGAGATGAGTGAATGACATGATTGTTACCATTGCATCATTAAGATCATTATACACCAAATCCAATAGAGCATCATGTTGTTCCGCTCGTATTGTAAGTAGCAACAACATGCTCCATTATCAATATGCTTTCAGGTTTTGGTTTTATAAACCGAAAAACTTTCAATTTGTAGGGAGAATAAAGTCCAACATGAGTCTTTGAGCTACATATGTCCACACGGTGAACCAAAGTAACCACATTAGAACTGACTTCTCGCCTCTCCAATTATAACAAAAACTTCAACATCGAGGTTCTCACTTTGTGGATCCATTCACAGTGGTTACGATCGGATACTCAAATAACCGCTTGACACTACAAGAAAACAAGGTTCAATCCCACGGAAATATCAGTAGTAAAATGGTGGGAATAGGCCATTTCCAACTATTTTCCAACAAAACTAAAATGGTGGGAAATCGATCATTGCAAATTTAAATTAGTGGGAAATCTATGGGAAATTTCCCACCGAAATTTCTGTTACAATAACGGTGGAAAATATCGGTGGGAAAATTGTCGGGAATTAGCCACCGTTTCGCGACGGTGAACCAACCAAATATTCTCACGGTTTACTAACTAAATATTCCCACGGTTTGTCAACCAAAAACTCCCATTATTTTCCCACGGTATCTGCATTAATAATCTCCCACTATTTTCCCACTATTTAGTATGTAAATCCAATTTTTTTACTAATTAATATTTTAAATTGCAAAATTTCTTAATTAAATTACCATTTCTTACATAAAATTCCATAGATGATAAGTTTCATAACATAGCAGTCTTCAAAACCAAAAAAAACATAAGCTAAACGTTAACTTAAAAAAGTCTTCAAAACATACATAAACTCCTAAAGAATTTTACTCTTGAGTGTCATCTTGGGTTGCATCTGCATCATCCTCTTCAAGCAATTCTGGAAACTTAACAAGCACCTTCTTTGCAAAACCTGAGAGATACTGGATGGTCTCAGCCATAGTTGCAATCTTCTCATTTGCCAACTGCAACTTCTCTTCATGTTCCAGATCACAAGACTTACTACTAGAAGTTGATCTTGAACTTAAGAGTGTGCCAAATCCAAAATGTCGTCCCTTTACCTTGGGTATTTCCTGAGATTTTAGAAACAACATTAGTGGAGATGCCAAAAAAAAAACTCACAAAAGCAGTAATAAAAAATTCAAGTCTCCATTGTGCATTATGCATATACGTATAAAATTCAATTCTTCACAAAAGCAATAATTAAAAAAAACTTAGAAAAGCAATTATGCATTTCAAATGGGCATATGTAAAAATTCAAGTCTTCACAAAAGCAGTAATAAAAAAAACTCACAAAAGCAATTATGCATTTCAAATGATCATAGCAAAAATAACAAATAAACAAAATGACAAATTTCAAGTCGTATGAACTTAACGACATCATGCATATACGTAAAACACTTACTTGCATAACTATGGCATTGATCTCAGTTTGGGAAAGGGTATTTGATTGAACTGACCCATCTTCAGTAACAGATCTGCGCTGAGATTGGGTCATCTCGACCTTCTCCTTAATGGCTTTGAGAATCCGCTTTGCCTTCTTGTCGGGTATCAAGCCGGTCTTTTTACATGTGTGCACCTCCTCCATAAACTCGACCATACCAGGCTCTTCTCCTCCATTCTCAACAGTCTTACATCCATGGAATTACAAGTTAGTGATATATACATAGTTAAGAATAGAAGAGCAATCAGAGAAGTAAAATTAGCTTACCATTTCATCCCAACGTCTGTAATATGATTTAGAGCCCATGTGATGTACGAATTGGCCATCACCATCCCTCTCACTTTTCCGGTTCTGGGAGTTTGTTTCAGCTGTTGAAGCAACTTTATTTGTGGTCCATATGTTGATGAAACCCTCCCAAGCTGTATCCCCGATCCATTCTGGTTTGTCTTTTTTGAGCTTCCATATGTCCTTCCAATCACTCAAGTTGTTTGTGTAAGAAGCTGAAGCTTGTTTATCAAACGCCTCTCTCACAATCACGGTAATGCTCTTGTCCCAATGAAACTCTCTCTGTTTTTTAGTAAACAGAAAACCCGTAAAAAACATGAGAAATACATATTACATAAAGAAGATTGAAATAATCATGATATTTTCACATACCGCAAAAGCTCGGAACCACCGGTCTTTGTGTTCAATAGGTAACTTGCGGTATGTGGGATAAGCCTTCTTCAGATCAGTTTTCATCATCCTCAGAATTGATTTTGTTATTTTCCCAGTACTATCACGTTTAAACCTACAATATTACAAAGAAACAATATGAAAAAACATAACCCATATCCCAAACAAATTAAGAAACAAGCTGAAAATGGCATCGATCTAAGTAACTTACCATGTAGCTCCTCCTTCGAGCTTGGGATGAAGTTGTGTGAGGAGGTGGCGTCCAGGAGCATCCAAAAGATCATCGACTGTAGCTGTAGTGGTATGTGCTGATGCTTGTGTCTCAGCATTAGAGGATGAAGGGCGTTGTGGGCTTCTTCTTGTGCGTTGAGACATAAAAGTCTCAAATTGCAGGAACGAGGGTGTATCATCGGGAGTGAATGGACCATGTTCTCTTACAAAACGGTCAAACTCTTCACGGCTCATCATCTCCATTCCCAAAAAAAATTACAGAGTATACAAAAGCAGTCAATACAGATGCACCGTTAAGAGAGACTAAGAATAGAAAATCAAAAGCAGAAACAGTTCAAACAACATTTTGACTAAGTATCTGAGTGAAGAGAAAGCAGTTCAAACAACATGAACCAAATTAAGCGAAGAAAAGAGGGAAGAAGAAGAATTACCTTCGCAGAATTTGTGATGTCGGCGGCGTCTAGAAACAAGAGGGAAGAAGAAGATTATTATGTTTAGGTAATTAGGGTTAAAGTTATTTGTCTAGATAGTTTACTGGCCCAAATTAAGTAAGCCCAATATTTACAAATGTTTTTGTAATTTGTAAAGCAGAAAGCATTTATGGCCCAAATTAAAAACTTAACAATATGTTTTAAATAATAACTAACAGAACCAGATATTAAGATGTAACGAATTATAAATTGAATTCCAGATATTACATTTGATGAACAAAACAAGTTCCAAATAATACAATAATTTTTTTATAACTAGTCTGAATCAGAAGAATATTCCGAAGAAGCTGAATCAATATTTTCTTCAAATTCCTCAAGCTCTTCTTCTGAAATATCTGTTATATCCTCAATTACTGGATTTTCCGAATCGATCAAATAGAAGTCATCCACCGAATGATCAATTGAACCTATGTGACCAATAGAGTCTTGTTGCAATGGCTCCTTCTCAACCACTCCGTACAGTCTACCCCTCGGATTTATCTGTGTAACAGTTATCCATGGATCTTGTTTATGCCTTATACGAGGATGACGAATATAACATACTTGGTTTGCTTGTGATGCCATGATAAAAGGATCGTACTTGGTTAACATCCTTGATGAATTAACTTCTATAACACCAAATTTGTCATGACGAACACCACTTCCAAGATTCGGATCATACCAGTCACACATAAATAATATGCATTTCAGGTTGATGATACCTGAATACTCTACTTCTAAAATTTCCTTCAAAACACCGTAATATGTTATGTCCCCAGCTTGAGTTGAGATCCCTGAATTTAGAGTTGGCCGATGTCCTTCTCGATGAATCTTAAATGCATATCCACGTGTACAGTACATCGGGGAAGACATTGCAAGTGAAAGAGGACCCAAAAGTAGCTCTTCAAACCATGTTGGTAGTGTTTCACCCCTTAGAGAACATGTATAAACCTGTAAAGTATAATAATTTGATTAATATAATATTTACATATCAGAAAAATATAACTACTTTAAAGAAGACACTTACATAAAACTTCAACCAAACCCAAAATTCCTGATATTTCTTGTTATTAACTTCGTCCTCTGTAATATTTGGATTCTGCATCCTCAATTGATCCGCATATATACTGTATAATTCCAATAAAAATAAGTATAATTAATTAGTATGAACTATTACCATTATACTGCATTAAAGGAAAATTAGGTGTAGCTAAAATTTATACGTTTCGTATGGCAACAATTCTTCGCAGTTTAGAAGAATATATGTATGCAAGTGGATCCTCTCTTGGTCTGTTAGCCACCGTTTTTTTTGTTTTCCCCCCAAACGTCCGATTTGTGCAAATATGTCTGGAACCGGTCTTATGTATTGCGGTTTCTCTCCTCCATCGTCGTAACGGCCCGGTTTTCTACTTCTGGTTTGGATTTGTGGTGCAAAGTACGATGAAGAAAAGTGTGAAGTCTCTTCATTAATGCTCTGAGCAACTGTTGACCCCTCCACCCTGCTTAAGTTTTTTACTTTCTTTTTCAAATGGAACATGAATCGCTCGAACGGGTACATCCATCTATACTGAACCGGACCACCAAGTGCTACTTCGCGAGGGAGGTGAATTGGAAGATGTTCCATAACATCAAAGAAAGACGGTGGAAATATCTTCTCGATATTGCACAAAAGAGCAGGTATATTGTCTTCCAAAATTTTAATACCATCTGCTGTTAATGATCTAGTGCATAAGTCTCGGAAAAATGCACCAATACCTGAAAAAAAAAACAATAAACATGAACATGGATATATATGTATATATATAAATATATTTATATATAGATACATATATATATATATATTCATACCTGCAATGGCTTCATGAACATTTTTTGGGAGGAGTTTGCCAAATGCGAATGGAAGCAACCGTTGCATGAAAACATGGCAATCATGACTTTTCATTCCAGATAACTTACCCTCATCATATTTAACACAGTTTTGGAGATTAGAAGCATATCCATCTGGGAATTTAACGCCATGAATAATCCATTGGAAAAACTCATCTTTCGCATCTCCATCCAATCTAAATATAGGGACAGGACCCTTTCCGTTTTCCATGAGATGTAGCTCTGTGCGATTACATATAGCAGGTAAGTCTAATCTAGACTTCAAGTTGTCTTTTGTCTTCCCGTGAACATTTAAGACGGTATTTATGATGTTTTCGAAGAAGTTTTTCTCGATGTGCATGACATCAAGATTATGCCTTAACAGATGGTCCTCCCAATATGGTAAATCCCAAAAAATACTCTTCTTGTGCCAATTATGATATTCACCATATCCATCAGTTGAAACATGTCCATTTCCGCCGCATTCTGCAGTTTCATATGCCCCAAAATCTCTTAGTTGCAATTTGAGAGAACGACCGCTTAATTCATTCGGAGGTGCATCACGAATTACTTTGTTCTTTGTGAACATCGTCTTGCTCTTGCGGTAAGGATGTGAACGGGGTAGAAATCGTCGATGACAATCAAACCAACTTGTTTTTCGTCCGTGTTTCAATTGGAATGCATCAGTACTATCTCCACAGTATGGACATGAAAGCCTACCATGAGTTGTCCATCCCGATAACATTTCATATGCTGGAAAATCACTGATTGTCCACATAAGCACCGCTCGCATTTTAAAATTCTGTTGATATGAAATATCATAGACTTCACTTCCGTGTTCCCATAACTCTTGTAACTCATGAATCAATGGCTGTAAAAACACATCAAGAGATCTCTTAGGATGTTCTGGTCCAGGTACGAGTATTGTGAGAAAAAGAAACTCACGTTTCATACATAAAGATGGGGGCAAATTGTACGGTGTGAGAATAACTGGCCATAGGGAATATTGTCTTCCATGTTTTCTAAATGGGTTGAAACCATCAGTACATAACCCAAGATAGACGTTTCTGCTCTCCGATGCAAAATTTGGATAAATTGACTGAAAGTGTTTCCATGCTTCTGCATCAGAGGGATGCACAATCTCTCCTTCATTTGAATGCTATGCATGCCATCTCATAGCTCCTGCTGTTCGCTCAGACTGATACAATCTTTTCAACCTATCTGTCAACGGCAAATACCACATACGTTTATATGGTACTCGAACTCTCCCGGCAGTATTCTGAAATCGAGGTTTACCACAAAACAAACATGACAAGTAATTTGCGTTTGCTCCCCAGTATATCATACAATTATCGATGCACACGTCGATCATCTGAAAAGGCAAACCCATACCAGCCACAAGTCTGTCTACCTCATAGTAGGACGCTGGACACAGATTATCTTGTGGTAACACATCTTTCATAAGATCAGTAATTGCATCAACACAATCTTCGGCCAAATTAAAATTTGTCTTGATGGTCATTAATCGGGTTGCAACAGACAAAGGAGAATGACCCTCTTTACAACCAACATAGATTGGTTGCTTGGATGCATCCAACATATCATAAAATCGCCTTGCTTCTAAATTAGGTTCCTCTATTCTATTGCCTTCTTCCATAAATGAAGGCATATTCTCGCGAAATGCATCATTTACCATTTGTATTGTATCTGTAGATCCTATTGTAAGTCTGGGTTCCGCTACCCTATCCGTTACAGGAGCATTCATATTAGCCAAATTCACTAAATCAACTTCGCCATGATTATACCATGTCTGGTAATTTGGCCTAAATCCTCGCTTATACAAGTGAGTCCACACTTTGTCTACGACAATAAACTTATTATTATCACACAAAGGACATGGACAAAACATTTTCCCTTTTTTTCGGGTAATGTCTTGATTTATGGCAAATTCCATGAACTCAATTAAACCTTTTTCAAACTCTTTTGTAATCAACCCTGTGTTAGAATCAACACGGGTATTATACATCCAGGATCTATCATTCAGATTTGGATCCATTTTGTTTGTAAGAATATATGAAAAGTGAGAAGGGAAGAGTGGTTTATATAGAAAAAATATCTCCGATGCTCCACCGATTTCCCACCGATTTCTAAAAAATTAAACGGCTAATTCCAACGGCTATAAACGGATATATTGACGCCACAGTTTTATGACCAAAACAATCGGTGGCAAATTTGCAATTGATTTCCCACGAATTGCCCATGTAAAAACCACGGATTTCCCACCGATTTCTAAAAATACAAATGGCTAGGTACAACGGCTATAAACGGATATATTAACGCCACAGCTTACCGACTAAAAAAATCGGTCGCAACTTTACAATGGATTTCCCACGATTTCTCAATGTAAATACCAACGATATTTGTTTCGTTTGTAATCCGTTGCAAATATCCCACGAAATCTCTATCGATATATTCCGTTGCAAATTAGCAACAATTTTCCCACCAAATCACTTAACCGTGGTTTATTTCTTTAAATTTCGTGGGATATTTTACCCACCAAAATTTTGGTGGGAAATTTCGTGGGAATGAACCTTGTTTTTTTGTAGTGTGAAAGCAGAGCGAAATCATTTCTTTGGAATGTGGAATTAGTTTTGTATGAGAAATAAGTTAAGAAAGACAACACATTATAACCAAATTGAATGGAAATTAGTTTTGATTCGGACAAAGAGAGATCGATCGTGTGAGATGAAAGGCGTAAATGACAATACATGGAATGTAGAAACAATTCAAATTAAAGGCATTAGATATTGGCCTTTGATTGGAAGTACACTATGATGATGATTAGAATGTACTAACTTACTATGAAACCAATCACTAAAATGTTACATGAAAGTGGTACAAAGTAGTGTTAAAAATACAATGGTTCAACATACAAGAAAAAATGATGGTTCAAAAACAAAAGTGACGGTACATTTTAAAGCCTAAAAAAAAAGAGTATTATGTACACTTTAGTTTGTACTACTCTCATTTAAAATTTATTCAAAATTTCTTGTACTTTATGCACTTAGTATTTTCAATGTCACCAATCAAAGTCATTTTATGATTTGTTCTTTTGACAACTAAAGCTAAACCAAAACTAAATACTTAAATAAAAAACATCTTAAAAATTTAAACATAAGAAGAAAGAAGAGAAAATCAGACACCATTGTTTTATCTATAAAATATAAAAAGCTGCATATGCGAAGACTAGTCAAGGTGCTTGTGAGTTTTTAAATTGTAATTTCCAGTACTAATGGTTAAACTTTAATTGGTCTTACATTGTTTTGGTCAAACCTTAGAATGTCTACGCCTTTGATTGTGAATAGCATTGGTCATCGATACAAATTCATCATGCATGTATTGAAGTATTTGAGTTTATAAATATTTGGAGGGATATTTTGTTCACAGATTTATTGATTTAAATAGTTTATTAAAGTATGATAAATGATCCAATACAAAGATAGTGCACTACCATTTTTTGTTTTCTACTAGAAAATGGTGTTGTACTAGGCCACGCTTAAATAGTGAACATTAAAAACTAGTAAATAGCAAATCCCTAATTAGTAATTAGTCTTCTTCTACCCATACTCATCGTCATCACTCTTCTTCCACCTCTCATTGTCTGCAATTTTATTCTCCTCCGATTCTTCACTCTTCCTTTTCCTCTTATTCTTCGTTTCTTCACTCTTTTTCACTCATCTTCTTTACCGCTTTTCACTCATCTTCTTTTCCGCTTTTTCACTTTTCTTCTTTCTTATTCTTCACCGCTTTTCACTCTCATCTTTTTCACCGCTTTTCACTCATTTTCTTCTCAGTTTTTTCACTATTCATCTTCTCCACTTCTTCACTTTTCTTCTTTCTTCTTGTTCTCTGCTTATTTATCCTTTTCAGATATTTTATCTTACTCACCATTATCAAGCCTTCAATCTCAAAATCGTGTCATCACTTAGCGAGAACCAGAAAATTTTTATCTCTCTTACATTCTCATACAAATATCCATCTGAAAAAGTGTCTTCATAGAAAATTAGGTGTACTCATTCCATTGGCGTTTGGTTTGATAGTGATTAATCCTCTTAAAAACAACTCAAGTTTCTCAATCACCTCCTTCTTCTTGCCTTCCTCAGCCTCTTTCTTGTCGACTTGCCATCCTCATCCACGTTCTTGTCTTCCTCAGCCATGTTCTTGCCATCCTCAGCCACATTCTTGCCTTTCTCAATCCATTCATCTTTTATAAACTTACCAGATGCACCGGTTAGTCAAAATATTTTTCTTGATTCCTCATTGAATCAAACGGCAAAAACAAACAAGATGGATACAATTGAACATAAAAACTTTTAATATGTAGGAAATGCCGATCCAATCTTTTTAGATGCTTTCTGCCAACTTTTTAAGTTAAATTATGTTCTTTTCATATTTTTTTTCAAAACCAACAATAATAAAAATTAAAATTTCATAAAACAAGCAAACTCTATATATAAACAGTTTATACGAGAAAAAAATTAATATTATTAGTTCTCTTTACATTTTTTTCTCTATAAAATCATTTATTAAACTCACGTAGTCAAATTTTTGAACTATATTAGCTTGAATTGCTAACAAATCCAATTCATTCAATCGATCTTTGACACATAATAGACCGCAAAATTTTTAGAACATTATTTCCTCAATAAAATAATTATTATTTTAAAAGACAATAAATTCAAAAAAAAATTAGTAAAAACCCCATATTATTACAAGACATGCAAATGCCTTTATTTCATTAGAAAGGCATATAGACTTTGTTCATATATAACTTTTAATATTTTAACTAACATATGCCTTGACGTATTTGATGGCTTACTTGTACTTTTGGCCGGGTCTGTATAGAGAAACATAAAGTCCCCATTAGAGCATTTCCAACCATGCTCCATTTTTTGCTGCAAACTCCATTTTGGAGTAAATTTCACTCCAACCCTACTTCATTTTTGACTGCAAAATGGAGAAAAAATAGAGATTGCTCCATATTTGGAGTAAACCTTTATTCTACTCCATTTTGCAGCTATACTTTTTTTATTTACAATCTGATCCTTAAAATATTAAATCATTATAATTTTATATTTTTTATCAACACATCATTATTTTCGACATTATAGATGGCTATATGCATTTTTTTTCAGATATACACTTAATATTTGTATGACACATATCACTTTGACTTTTATATATATAAAATTAAAAAATGGTCTTTATGTATGTATATATATATAACTATCGGTTTAATAATTAAGTTTTTATTTTATGATTCATGTTTATAAGATTTTTTGACAAGATTATAGGACTTTAATAGTTTAAAAAAATATAAAATAGACATTCATAAATTGGAAGAGAAGCTCCACCTCCAGAAGTTCAAATAGTTGATGATGACAATATCAGGTTCCAAGAGTTTCTCGGTCGATTTAGAGAAATCAAAGATAAAGAAGCTCATTTTTCACTTCGGAATGCATTAATTGATCATTTGTGGGAAAAATTTAGTAATTGTGATGTTTAAATTTCCTAAGTATTATGATATTATGTATTTTTCTTTATTTAATAAAATTTCTTATGTTTTTATGATTTTATGTAATATTTTATTTAATAAATATTTTTATTTTATTAAATTCGTAAATTATAAATATTTTAGATAAAATAAAAAATAGGTTATTTTGTAACTTCTAAAAGTTATAGGTTATTAAAATTAAAATAAAAGTAGAATCTATTAGGAATATTCTTTTTTGTAATCAAAAATTGAGTCATACGTTGGAGCAAAACACAACTTTATTTTGAAGAAAAAATGAAGATTTACATTGGAGTACAAAGATGATACCAAACTGGCTTCGGTTTGCTCCGGTTGAAAACAATCTAGGATTATATGGGTTTAGATCAGTAAGCTGAGGCCCAGTAATATTTGGACTTCAAACGAAGACATCCCGTTTCCTTGTGCGTAAAAACTACGCCACGTTTTTACGTATTGTAAAGAGACGTCGAGTAGTTTTATCTGCCCAGCCACGTCGGACGGTGACGATAGCCGATAGGGTTCAACGACGATTGAATTCTGATAATGTCGAAGCTTTTGAGTAGCGTAAAGAAATCATTAGAGCTTTAGTGAAAGAAGATTCAAACAAAAATGGCGGTGATGATTTCAACAAATCCCTTCGTTAACGCCTCGTATTTAGACGATGGCCGGAAATTTTGCTGGGATTCACGCCGGAAGCCGGTCTTTCCTCAAGCGTGCTTGAACTGCCGGCGATTCGTTCATCGGTCGAGGAAATCGAAGAAAAATGTAATATTCTGTTTGAATTTGAACGCGAAGGAGGTCGGTTTGCAAACATCGGGTGATGGAGGTTTTGAATTCAAGCCCAATTTTGATCAGTACCTGCAAATCATGGAATCGGTTAAAACAGCGCGTAAGAAGAAGAAATTCGACAGGTTGATCGAAGATAAAGTCGAGGATGATGGTGGCGGAGGTGGAAATGGTGATTCGGAAGTGAGAAATGGGGTTTCAGGTAGACGATTAGAGCTGAGAAGAGATGTTGAAGATGTGAAGACTAAGAGTGGTGAGCCAAAAGATGAAGGGTTCAGGAGGAGATACTCGAGGCAGGAGATGGTGAGCACCGATAAACGTAATGAGAGAGGATTCAAGAGCAATGAGGAAAATGGAATTCAGAGGATAACCAAAGATGTGAAATGGAGTAAGAGCGGTGAATCTTATTCAGTGACTGCGCAAGAAGATGAGAGCTTCAGGAGAAGGTACTTGAAGCAGGAGATGGTAAGCGGCGATAAACGTAATGATAGAGGTTTTAAGAGGAATGAAGAAATTGGAATTCAGAGGATAACCAAAGATGTGAAATGGAGTAAGAGTGGTCTATCTTCTTCAGTGACTGCGCCAGAAGATGAGAGCTTTAGGAGAAGGTACGTGAAACAGGAGATAGTGAGGCATCACCGTTCCTCTGATACATCGAGAGGGAACGAGGGGATCATCAAAGGAGATGAATTGGGGCTCGTTGTTGAAGAAAGGAGAAGTATAACCAAAGATGGAAGATGGAGTAAGAGTGGTGAAACTTCAGTGATTGCACCAGAAGATGAGAGCTTCAGGAGACAGTACTCGAAGCAGGAGATGGTTAAGTATCAGCGTTCCCCTGATGTATCGAAAGAGATTCGTAGAAGTTCCAAAGGAGATGGACTGGATCTCCTTGCTGAAGAAAGGAGAATTGAGAGACTAGCCAACGAGAGGCATGATTTCAGAAGTAGCAAATTGAGTCAAATCAGGAGAACGGGTGCTGCTAAGAAATATGATGAAGATGATGATAGCTTGTTTGACATGGAAAGTCCTGCCTTTAGGTTTTCCGATGAGTCCAGTGATATAGTGGACAAGCCAGCTACTTCGCGAGTCGAAATGGAAGACAGAATCGAGAAGTTAGCAAAAGTGTATGTGTTTTAACTTAAGTTAAGATCTAGATTTGGTTCCTCGATTACCTGGAAGAAAGAAACTAGGAAGTAGTTATTTATTTGGTTTAGCTATGTGCTATTGCAGATGCAATTAGGGAGTGAAATTAGTAATATTGGTTTTGAAAATATTATCAAATTCAGCTGAGTTTTATGTTAAGGAAGTTTATTTCGCTAGGTTGAATGGTGCAGACATCAATATGCCTGAGTGGCTGTTTTCCAAGGCGATCCGGAGTGCAAAAATCAGATATACGGATTACACTATAATGAGACTGATCCACTTTCTAGGGAAACTTGGAAACTGGAGACGAGTTCTTCAAGTCATCGAGTGGCTTCAAAGGCAAGACCGTTACAAATCAAACAAGATAAGGTAACTCTTTGACTTACTATTCTAACTAGTGAGCTGTGGAGATACTGCACTGGGAACCTGTTTGAATTCAGTTGTAAGACTCTAGAGTCTATTCAAGTCCTGAGGATAAAAACGTAACGTTGACAAAATTTATTATTTTGGATATAGAATCATCTATACAACTGCACTAAATGTGCTTGGTAAGTCAAGGAGGCCTGTGGAAGCTCTCAATGTATTCCAGGCAATGCTGGTAAAACCCGTATGCCATATATGCTATGCCTGTATGTCTTCTTGTTGCTTCTGGTATAATTTGTTTTTTTTTTTCTGTGTGTTTTCTTCTCCAGTTACAAATCTCATCATATCCGGATATGGTAGCATACCGTTCAATTGCAGTCACGCTTGGACAAGCTGGGCATATCAAGGAACTCTTTCATGTGATTGACACTCTGCGATCTCCACCTAAAAAGAAGTTCAAGCCAACGACACTTCAAAAATGGGATCCCCGGCTTGAACCTGACGTTGTTGTTTACAATGCGGTCAGTAATTTATAACTGTCTCATTCTTGTGTATATATCTATAGACTTCATTTATCCCCGGAGACATACAGTGAGTCGTCTAATGTGATTGCTGGACATGTATTCACCACACAGGTACTCAACGCATGCGTTCAACGGAAGCAGTGGGAAGGAGCATTCTGGGTTTTGCAACAGTTGAAGCAAAGAGGGCAAAAACCTTCTCCTGTCACCTATGGCCTCGTCATGGAGGTGAAATATCTCTTCTTGTCATAACAATTAATTTTGCTTATCAACGCGATTGAGTGACGGATTTGTATATGTGCCTAAGCAGGTGATGCTTGCGTGTGAGAAATACAATTTAGTTCATGAATTCTTCAGGAAGATGCAGAAATCCTCTATCCCTAATGCTCTAGCATATAGAGGTACATACTTTTTGTGAACTCTTTGTCCTTTTCCTTTAGATTATTAGTTTTTGAATTCCCCTCTGAATAGTAACCATCTCTACCTGTGAATCAGTTCTTGTTAATACTCTGTGGAAAGAAGGTAAAACAGATGAGGCCATACAGACGGTTGAGGATATGGAAAGCCGTGGCATTGTTGGATCAGCTGCTCTTTACTACGACCTCGCTCGTTGTCTATGTAGCGCAGGAAGGTGTAATGAAGGGCTTAATATGGTAAATTTTGTAAATCCAGTAGTCCTTAAGCTTCTCGATAATCTGATCTAAAAGGCTGATCTTGATCATACCATCCAATGTCAGATTAAGAAGATATGCAGAGTTGCAAACAAGCCTCTCGTGGTGACATACACTGGCCTGATCCAAGCATGCCTTGACTCAGGAAACATCAAGAACGCAGCTTACATCTTCGATCAGATGAAGGAGGTCTGCAATCCGAACCTAGTCACTTGCAATATAATGCTTAAAGCTTATCTACAAGGTGGTTTGTTCGAAGAAGCAAGAGAACTTTTCCAGAAGATGTCGGAAGATGGAAACCATATAAAAAGCAGCTCGGATTTCGAATCAAGAGTATTGCCAGACACTTACACGTTCAACACGATGCTAGACTCCTGCGCTGAACATAAAAAGTGGGATGATTTCGGTTATGCTTATTTGGAGATGTTGCGTCACGGATACCATTTCAATGCGAAACGCCATCTCAAAATGGTACTTGAAGCTAGCAGAGCAGGAAAGGTAAACAAAAAACGAGACAAATTGGAACATTTGAGTTATCAACTTGTCTGAGAAAATCTCTCGTGTGTGTGTGTGATCAGGAAGAAGTGATGGAAGCGACATGGGAACACCTACGGCGGAGTAAGAGGATTCCGCCGTCGCCTCTAATCAAAGAAAGATTCTGCAGGAAACTCGAGAAAGGCGATTATGTTTTAGCGATATCTTCTCTTGCTGATCTTAATGGCAAAGACATCGAAGAGACAGAGTTACGGGCATTTTCAACGACCGCGTGGTCCAAGGTCTTGTCTCGGTTTGAGAAAGATTCAGTTTTGAGGTTGATGGACGATGTGAACAGACGTGTGGGTTCGAGAAGTGAGTCTTCGGTTTTGGGGAATCTATTGAGTTCTTGTAAAGAGTTTCTGAAGAACAGAACACAAGTGGTGTAAGTTATTTGCGAATCTAATGTTAAAAGAAAAGGCATGTGATGTTGTGATTTCCTTAAATATATATAAAGTGGTTAAAGAGACGGGTATAATAATGTGTTAACATAGCTAAAAAGCAAACGATTTTTCTGAAAGTGTCTTGTATACGAAACAAAAATGTAATTTGAAAAAAAATTTATCTATATACATTTTTGAAAAACTTTTTTTCCAAAAAATGATTTGACGTTCAACATTTCGAATTTACGTTCAGCTATTGATATGATACGGCCGATCGGATTCAAATTAGCTTAAATGAACAAAACAAATTCATAATACTGAATAAAAAATTGTGTTTCGTTGGAATATTGTAAAGGGGGTAAAGTGCAACGTATCTTCTTAAGCCACCCAGAAGGACTAAGGAGACGTAAATGAATAGAAAATTTGCATGTCACGAGGTTTATTTTATATTTTCTAAATAAATAAAAGTAATTAAATTAGAGAAGTGGGAATGTATGTGGAGATGTGGAAGAATGATCTAATGAAGTCAACGTGCATGGAGTCGTCGATTGCAATTGCAAACTTGTCTAATGTAAATTGAAGTCAAGCACACGTTATTTATATTGCTTTCAAACCTATTATAACTTCTAATTAAGAAAAAAAAAACTACTTCTTTTCTTCACGTATAAAAATAAAAACTATTACATTCTTTAGAATATGCAGCTAGCAAACAACGCATGTGTGTGATAATTTGCTATGTTATGACTGGCAATAACTTCTTAATGGACAGTAGAATATTTGAAAATTTAATTAAAATAAAAGTTTGTTCGACAAAGGAATTGTAATAAATAAAGCGGTACCAAACAATTTGAATGTGATTATTGGAGCATGTTAGAACAGGTGGGTAAATATCAATTATCAGCACTACTTTTTTAAAGGATTTGCAATTTTAATCAGCACTACTGCACTAGGCAACAAAACACTATAAACTTTATAAAAAAAATGATAGTTTTAACCCAAAAAAAAAAATTGATAGTTTAGACAATAATTCTTTGATTATTCCCACAAAATGATAACAAGAAATTTTAGTTTAATCTGGTTAAGATTAGTTGTAAACAATCTTAAATTTGATAAAAAGTTATTATGATTATAAATCAAACGAAGTTGAAAACTCGTGAGAATCTAAACTGAAAGTTGTGTAACCGACAAATAGGAGGAGGGAGAGGAGGAGGAGGCAACGCATTAGGTGAGGCAGGGCGGTTCACAAGGTACGATGTCGTTTTTAAAGACATTGAAAGACACCATAACACGTACGTGGCGCTACATCATGGGATCAGGCCATGCTTACGTGGATCCCACCTGACATCTACATTACTGTTCTTACTGTATAATTTATGTTGTTTTTATTGATCTCCTGCCCCCCTTTTTTTATTGTTTTTCAGTCAGATCTTTTGCCTTTTAATTTCCTAAAATGTTTGGTATTTTTCTAGTAATAAAAATGTTTCAGCTTCTTTTAAAATACAATTACTAATATCTAGAGCACGTATACATTTAGCTTCAAAAAAAATTAACAATTAACAATTAAACTACGCATCACAAGATAATCATTTGGTAGTAATTAGATGAAATTTGAAAATAACACGTGATGTAGTGGTTTGTGTTAATATCATAGCTACTTCATCACCAAAATTCAATTCAAGTCATCGACAACAACATAAAATAGATGAAATATTTATGTTTGTTAATGAAATGATAGATAAAAATACCAGTTTCAAACAAATATTCCCAATTGTAGTTTTTTTTTTTTCTCTTTAACTTTACCCGATTCTAAGTTTGGCATCAAGAAAAAAATGACATCAATACACACCTGCTTTGCTTTGCTATTTATTACAAAATGTCATTATTACACATCTCACTCCCAAAACCACTGAAATGAGGCCTAAAGAACTAGTTTATCCGAGTTTACGTTGGCATGTCTTATTATGACATCTTTTTCGAATCATATATTGTATTCCTTAAACTGCTCAATAGAGAAACCTACAAAAAAAAAAAAAATAAGCAAAATCATATGTTGCAAATTATTTGGTTTTTAAATAAGGATTGTTGTGCACAGATTGTAAAACTTTTAGATATGATGATGATATATAATACAGGTGATCAAAATTTTAGAAGCGTGATGAAGTAACAACTTAAAAAAACCTAACAAAAATTATGGTAGGAACAAAGTCTGATCATAAAAGGACTAACAATTCTTGCCGACATGTCAGCACGACGGAGTTGGTCTCACCACCACACACAACCAGAGCTGAACAAGTGCGGCAATCCTATTGGCTACTCGTGCTTTGGCATAAAAAGCCATTCCCAAAAAAATAAAACTATTCCTATACGAGTATTGTATTATTTTCTTTAACTGTTTAATTGTTTATCAAATACTAGTACAAACTCCCAACAAAAAATTTTTATGTTATCTCGACATCGACTTTTCCATAGAAAACAATAAGTGTTTGTAATATGTCCAGATATTTTGAAGGTGCTTCTTCTAATATGTAACCCCATTTTCCTAAACTACAAAATTCGTATCTTTTATCATGTTCTCTTGGTAAATGATAATGACAAATTTTGGAGAAAGCTTGAGTAAATAATGTTGATGCCACTTACGTTTTTCCTCAAGATTTAGTTAAAGATGTCTAATGTCATTGATGATATCTTCGCTTGCATTGCAACGTCGATTCTTTGTGAATGCTATATCCGGATCCCAAATTCACTGATCGAAACATCATATAACTCTTCATAATTTACACTAAATCCTTTCTATTGATTGGGCTTGTGGATATTGGACACCATGAAAATGGAAAATATCAGAAATAGACTAACAGTAAATAAACAAAAAATCTCACAACAAGACCCCATAAACGATTTGCTTTAAAGAATGTGTGAGTGACAACACATCTTGATTTCAAATCTGTAAACAATATTATATGAAACATAAAGCGCATCCATAGATTCGAAAGATGATAACCCGTTGTTACCGATGTAATCTTGAATACTGTCGTCACAACCATTAGAAGGAATAGAGTAGATTGAATTATTTGATGGAAAGAATCAAACACCCATCAACAATTTTTAAGAAAGAAAATTTCAAAGAAATTAAAGGAATGGAGACCCACTGACAAATGCTGGCGGCCCAAAAATTTGAAATTTTTTTGCCTTATTTACATCACCAATTAGACTTATCACTTATATATCAACCAAACAGACCCGTTGCAGAAATTACAAATGGTGATATTAATTTAATTTGTTAATCTTGATTATTTACAACACAAAATCATCGGCACTGCTCCATCATTCTTGCCACATGTCATGTTGATATCAAAAGAAATTTTAAAGAAAAAAAGCTGACAAAAAGTCAATTATATTTTTATCTTATTGTTAAGAAAATTCCTTTTCTTTCTTTTTCACAATAATACTTTTTTTTTATTCAGTATCTTACAACCGAGGAATTTCCGCCTCCTGTGACTCTCTCTCTCTCTATCGCTCTCACCGGAACGCGCGTCGCACACTACTCTCTTTCCTCATCGTACGTTTCCTCTCTCTCGAAATTCTTCATTTTATAGTGAAAAATTGAATCTTTCTCAGAACCCATAGCAAAAGTCGAATCCTTTTATCTCTCTCTCTCTCTTACTCACTCTTGAGGCTTCCTCAAATTCTGGTTGGTTCGTCTCGTTTCTTCACAGAGACCTGTTGCTGTGGATACACGTGAGCCGCCATTAATGCCCGTTTTTTGTTTTCTTCCTACAGGTGCGTTTCCTTGCTTTATTGGTTTTGGCGTTTTTGCTTTGTTTTTTTTTTTTTTTTTTTTTTTTTATGCTATAGCCATTAGCCACTGCGTTTTCTCTCTTTCTTCCGTTTCTGCTTCTCAGATTCTTCACATTATCTCTTTTAGTGGTTTCTTTTTCCTCTGAGTTTGATGAAATCAGGATCTTTCCTGCGAAAATTTCACTTTAATTTCGTCAAAAAAACCAACTGGGTTAGTCTTATTTCATTTTAGATATTTGTTTATGTTCTTTTCTGATTTTTCTGCATTGTCAATTTTCATGGGACCGACATTGCTCCGACAAGAGTTTCCCAATCTGGGGTTTATTTTTTTTTGTATTTTTCGAAATGTTTTATAATTGAAAATAGATTTCCGGGGAATTTTGAATCTTTTGATTTTTTTCTTCCTCTGGATCTTTATATTCCGCTGTAACTCGGTAAAAAATTCCAAAATTTCCTCTGTGTTTCTCTGGGAAGTTTTCATCACTGGTTCTTGTTTTCCCAGGTTCATCATCCTCATCAATGTCGTGTACATTTCCTTAATTCAGTTTTCCTACTGTCTTGACTCTTCTTTGGTTTTTTTTCTCTCTGTGCATTTTTGTCTGAGTACCGTTGCTTTAACAGATAACTTCATCTGAGAAGTTTCACAGTTTGTCTTGTAGAAAACAAGAAAGCTTGAAGCTGATTTAGGGCGTTGGTGATCAACACACATCTTGTTGGTTTCCTTTCCGCGAGCTGAAGTGAATCAATATGTTTAATTTTACTCGAGCAAGAAGCCAAGGGAGGCAAAACAGATCTATGTCTCTTGGAGGTGAGATATATCTTAATTCCTGCGTTTAACTTTAGTGGGAAAGAATGTGTTTAAGTTTTCAATCAGTTCTCTTAAAACTTGAAGATTTGAGAATTCCTTAGTTTTGAGGATAAAGTTTTGAGGATGTTGAAGTTTTCTGGTTTGTGGAGCTTGAAAGTGTGAAGCTTCTGTGGATTTTTGATTTGGATGCAAATATTAACAGATCTTGGTGATTTTGGGAATGTAGGACTGGATTACGCAGACCCGAAGAAGAAAAACAATTACTTGGGAAAGATTCTTTTGACCGCTTCTCTTACAGCCTTGTGCATTTTCATGCTCAAGCAATCTCCAACGTTCAATACTCCAAGCGTGGTATAAACATCTTACAGTCCTTTGCTCGAGTTTTGAGATTTCACTTTTGATTTTCTCTTACATCTTTGAGAAAGAAGGATGTTAACATTGATCACATTTCTGAATGGTTCTTCATTTTTGTTGTTCTTTGTTTACTTCTTTTGTTCAGTTTTCTCGACATGAGCCAGGGGTTACACATGTTTTAGTCACTGGTGGTGCTGGTTACATCGGTTCACATGCAGCTTTAAGGCTTCTAAAGGATTCATACCGAGTGACCATTGTGGTATATTCTTTGGCTTACATGGACTTAGGTTCCTTTGTTCAGCTGCTTCAGTCTCCTTGTACTGTAAATATTGATGTCTAGATGAAGTAAAAATCTCTTTGTTTGAACAGGACAATCTATCACGTGGGAATCTCGGCGCAGTCAAGATTTTGCAAGAACTGTTTCCGGAACCTGGAAGGCTTCAATTTATTTATGCTGATCTTGGAGATGCAATGGCTGTAAACAAGGTATTCTCAGAGAATGCCTTTGACGCTGTGATGCATTTCGCTGCTGTTGCATATGTTGGGGAGAGCACGCAATTCCCTCTTAAGTGAGTAATTTTAGCTATTTTTCCTGTGAAAATATATGATTTTTGCTGTTGTGTAGATGTGAAACAAGCAACTTTGTGTTCTGTCAATTACAGGTATTATCACAATATTACATCAAACACTTTGGTGGTATTAGAGACAATGGCTGCTCATGGAGTAAAAACTTTGATATATTCAAGCACTTGTGCAACGTATGGGGAGCCTGATACTATGCCAATCACAGAGGAAACTCCTCAGGTGAAACAGATTTCGTCTCTCAACTGACTTTATAGCCACGGTTCTTCTTCTATGGCGTCTAACTCCTAAACACGGTCAATTCAGGTGCCAATCAATCCATATGGAAAGGCTAAGAAGATGGCAGAAGATATAATTTTGGATTTCTCGAAGAACTCAAAAATGGCGGTAATGATCCTAAGGTTGGTATAAGCTATACTCTTCTAAGTTCAACTTCTATCTAGTGGTTTTGTGCATGTTTTCTTTTCCCCTGAAGCTTACGAGGTTCTATTTCAAACCGATTTCCAGATATTTCAATGTGATTGGGTCTGATCCAGAGGGTCTGTTGGGTGAAGCCCCAAGGCCTGAGCTACGAGAGCATGGACGAATCTCTGGTGCATGCTTTGATGCTGCACGTGGCATCATGCCTGGCCTTCAGGTAATCACATTCTTCAGTTCATGAACTTTAATTCAGATTTTTGTCATGGTCTTGACTTTTGTTCTTTGGACAGTCATCACTAGCTTGGTTCTATATGGTTCTTTCATCAGTTTCAGATTCTTAATTTATTTCTAAAAATTAGTTTTTTGGTGTGTGTAATAAGGAGCTGGCACATGCTGTAGAACATGTTCAAGAATGTTTGCAAAACAAAAGCTGATAGTAGTAATTTACGGCTGAGCAAAATACATAATTGAGACAACTTAATTCTTGAGATTCCTTTACTAAAGCAAAGTTTAAATTAAGTCTACTTGTTACATTCACGTGGCTATAACTTTTCATTAGATCTTTCATTTAAAGTTTTCTTTTTTTCTCCGGTTTATCTGCAGATCAAAGGAACAGACTACAAAACTTCTGATGGAACATGCGTAAGGGATTACATTGATGTCACTGACTTGGTTGATGCTCATGTTAAAGCTCTCCAAAAGGCAAAACCCCGCAAAGTCGGAATCTACAATGTTGGTACCGGGAAAGGTATTATTGACTTTGGCTTAAACATCATCAATGTCTTCTTTGCTTTCTATCAAATGGATTTAAAGACTGTTTTTTAAAATGTTTGTGTGGAGTAGGTAGCTCAGTGAAAGAGTTTGTTGAGGCGTGCAAGAAAGCGACTGGAGTTGAGATCAAGATCGATTACTTGCCTAGACGCGCAGGTGATTACGCTGAGGTTTATAGTGACCCGAGCAAGATCAGGAAAGAACTAAACTGGACAGCTAAGCACACAAATCTCAAAGAGAGTCTTGAGACTGCGTGGAGATGGCAGAAGCTGCACCGTAATGGCTATGGTTTAACCTCGTCGGTCTCGGTTTACTGACTTTGTTCATTCCTTTTGGTGATTGATGGAGATTTTGATTCCAGATGGTAATGAGGAGAAGCTTAGGAGATGATGGTTTATATATTAAATATTAATATAAGATATATATATTAAGATCACATGATGAGATTTTGATTTGTTTACTAATGGCTTTAGGTTCTTTTAGGAAGCAGCCATTCATTATATATATGTACCTCTCACAATATTTATTCATTAGTCTTTAATAATATAGCTTTTTTTTTTTAACTCTTGTTGGCAAAATTGGATCTAAGCTTTTTATATTACAGATATTTGTGAAATGTTTGGTTTTCACATGTCTGGCTTATGTCTCATAAGTTATGGAGATTCTGTATTTGAAGAACAAGAGCTCTAGCTCAATGACATTAAAAGCTTCAGTGAGAAATCAGAGTGAATGCAACATATCCAATGGAAAAAAAAACTGTTACATATTCCGATAATTTCAAGACAGAGTTGGTTTGAATATGAAGTTCTTATGGTAGATTATAAAGCCAGTCGATTCCAGGTGATAAAGACTCTTTTTTAAATTCGAACTGTGGATTCTGAGGTCCTTCAGGCGAAAGATTGAAGCGCTCTCTCGAAGTTATCTTCAGCTGATGCTGCTCGCTTCACAAGCACGTGATCTGGATGTGAAAGTTTCAGCTGGCTGCAAATAGGATTTTGAAAATGAAGAAATAAGTCAGCTTCTTGACGCCTGAATATTATTTGAATATTATTGCTTTACCTTAGATAGCGTGAAGATGATTTCCCGACATGAAGACTGCATACAACTAAGTTTGCAAGAGTTTCTGGGTCTTTAGCATCCTGCAATGATCACAAATTTGTATATATATATACATTCAAGCTTGTGCAGCATATCTAATGACATGATAATGAGAATGGCTTGCGATTTGAGGAAATAAAGAAGAGTAGGTTCATTCACTCACCTTATTGAGTGCTTCAAGCAGTAGAGTCTCGGCTTCCTCGAAATTACCCATATGCATGCAGCAAACTGCCTTGCCGTTCAAGATCAAGCTTGTCATTGGGTACTTCTCAGAGAAATCCTGGAAGATTAGATAAGCTTCCTGTATCTTGGAACCTCCCTGATATCATACAACAGTTTCATATTAGCAAACAATAACAATCTCTCTATAAACTAAATGGAGAAAGAAAATAAAAGAAATGGATAATCATATCATACTACTGCCAGGTTCCACCATGCGCTTGCGAGTTGAGTGAGTGTGTGGTCTTCATCAACCTGTTGCATCACTCTCAGCTGTTTCTCTGCGTAATCTGATCTATGCATCTTTATGAATATCTGGACATTCAAAGCATGCCTAACAAATGCAGAAACAATAGTCAATTATCAAGTTAACGACATAGAACAATCATTTTGACAAGAAGTACTGTATGATCGAACCAAACAAACCGAGAAAACTCACAAATCCATGGTTCCTCCAGAATGAGTGTGTTTCAGAGCCTCATTATAGTCTTCCTCATGCATGAATATAGTACCAGCAATCAAACGAATAGTAGCATTGTTTCCTACGGTTGGATCTGCCAACCATTCCTTCAAGCTTGAAATGCTTGATTCCTAACCAAAATCGCAAATAACAACTATGTATTCAACAATGCATATCACAAACATAAGATGATGATAAATTCAACTTCGGATCTCTTGGCAAAGTTCTCAGAAATTCCGCTAAGCTAACGCTACCCATGAATCGATGCGATTGCATAACTGATCATAACTGAAATATCTCAAATTCTCTTGAATTACCTTAAATTCAGGACTCGATAGATACATAGCAAGGAGCTTGACAGCCTGCAGAGGAGTAGCGGACGCTTCGTCGATCTCATTGATGACAAGCTACGAAAACAAAATTCGAAAAATATCACAACTCAGGATCGAAACAAAGCGGAATCGAATCGGAAGAAGAAGACATCACAGAGGCGAACCTGGTAGCTACCGAGAGCGATGTAAGAGCGGTGGACGAGGCAATCGCGCTCGACGATATCCTCCTGCGAAAGATTAGGGATCTCGCTGTTGTTGATCGCCGCTTGAAACGCACCCAGGTAAAAGTTGTTTCTCAGGTTGAATAGATGATCTGGTCCTGACCCCATGGATGCCATTGTCTTCTTCTTCTTCTTCCTCCTCTAGATCTCACAGATCCGCGTCTAACTCCAAATTAGAGCAAACTGAAAGTGAGAGAATAATCAAATCAACCAAAAATGAAATTAAATAAGTTTTAAATTCTCAATTGACACCCACTGTGATCTCTGCTCGGCCCAATGTCTTCTAATAAAAATTTCGATCTATTTTAATGGGCTTTCAATTGGCCTAATAAATCTGTACTGTGTGTCGCATACACGTGTCATACATCCGAACGGTGACGATCTTTTCTTACCTATAAAACGCGTTTTATCCAAATCGCGCGGGAGTTGTTCCAACCTTGACGTTAGCATCCCGTTGAAAACCACTCCGTGTGATCGTGCTGTCACGTTTATGTCGACAACCAAACCAACAATTTACGGACACGTGCCTTTTAGTTTCCCCATTAATGTGCCGGTTACCATCCGGAAATAGTAGTAAACCGGTTTACGGGTATCGGATTTGATCAGCCATCGAGTCATCGTGACAGTAATTTTAACGGCGTTTACTGCTTCAGTTAAAATCTCTAATGACGAAAGTACCCTTTACTCCAAACGTTATTAGTTCGTAATCCGTTTTGCTCTCCTTTTTGAGATTTTTTTTTAATTAAAAATATTTTTCCCCGTTTTGCAGTTTTTCTAAAGTGAATGCGTTAAGCAACAGTTCGAATTCGAGCGAGCTGATTATCAAAATCTCTGATTGTTTGTTCATGTAAGTTTCTTTGATCCTTCGGCGAAATTTTGATCTTTCGATCGAGTTTTTACTTTTTCTTTGTTATAGTTTTGACTTTTCTTTTGCTTCTCCAATCTCGCCTGGAGTTTTAGGTGATTTTGTATTTGATTTATAACTTGAGTTTGTAACTATTAGTTTGATTTCCTGATGTTTTTTTTTATTTTATTTTGATAATGAACAAGTTTTGAATTTGAATGCATGCGCAATCCAGAATCCAGAACTAGATGTATGTATATATATGTTGAGTAGTTAGACCCTATTCGTTTGAGTTAGTTGGTTAGTTCATAGAGATGTAATTATGAAATTATTTCATGTTTCTGGAACTTAAAGTTGAAATTTTTCGGTGTTGACTTGCGTTGTTAGACAAGAATCTGTCATCAAATGATGAATATTGATTGACTTTTGGAAGCATTTTTGTGTTGGATTTCGAGTTCAGTTAGCGTAAAATTCCTTTTTTGTGCCTTTGTGCAGGTTTCATGAATCTCTTAATTTAATTTTACATCGAGTTAAGATTGGGTTGAGATGGCAACGGAGTCTACAAGGAGCTGGTTCCAGATAAGGCAGCAGAAACCTGACAAATCGAGCCCTACCAAAAAGGGACAAGAGGGAAATATGAGGAATATTGGCAGACCACCTATGAATGATGCACCATCAAATGCGACAAAACAGAAAGTCGCTGCAGCGAAGCAATACATCGAGAATCATTACAAAACTCAGAAGAAGAGTCTGCAGGAAAGAAAAGAGCGGTACGTTCTCAGAATTCTTCCTCTGACGCCAGTACTTACTTCTTTATCTTTTTGGTTGTTACAAAGGGAACTTGAGAGAAGTTAGGTGATTGAAAGTTGTGGATTTGATTACTTGGGTTCTTTTTGAGAGTTGAGATTAGTTTTGTGCTGTGACGCCAATATATTATTACTTCTGATATTAGCTCGCTCTTGAATACAGTCGGAGCATCTTGGAACAAAACTTAGCTGATGCTGATGTTCCGGTTGAAGAAAAGATGGATATATTGAAGAACTTTGAGAAGAAGGAAATAGAGTATATGCGTCTGCAAAGACAGAAAATGGGTGTTGATGACTTTGAACTGCTCAGCATCATTGGCCGGGGTGCTTTCGGGGAGGTATCTCTCTCTCATTTTTCACTTCCTTTCTGTAAGCTTAGCTAATATCTTGTCTCATCTTTACATAATCTTTCTATATAAATTCATGCATTAAAATTTGGAATATTGTTATTGCTTCTTATTTTGGTCTCTCCTATTGACTATGGTAACTAGTTATTCCGTGTGTTGATGTAAAATATTTCATTTCTGTACAGGTGAGAATTTGTAGAGAGAAATCTACTGGCAACGTGTATGCAATGAAAAAGCTAAAGAAATCCGAAATGCTTCGAAGAGGCCAGGTAATTCACTGTCTGATAGCATTTCTACAAATCACAGATTTCATCTGTGTTTTGAATTAGTATATACATCTGCTTATATACACTAATCCCCTGTATATGCGGTAAATATCAGGTGGAACATGTTAAAGCTGAAAGAAATGTGCTTGCAGAAGTTGATAGTCCTTTCATCGTCAAGCTTTGCTACTCCTTCCAAGATGATGAACATTTGTATCTTATCATGGAATACCTCCCTGGAGGTGATATGATGACACTGCTGATGCGAAAGGATATCTTAAGGGAAGATGAAACTCGGTTTTATGTTGCACAGACAATCCTGGCTATTGAGTCTATACATAGGCATAACTACGTCCACAGGTTCGAACAAAACTGGCACTTGAAGCGTCTCACATTGTTCTCTTGTCCGTTTTTGCATCTTAAATTTGACATTCACTAGAATCAATTTCTCACAGTGTCGATTATCTTTTCATGTAGTGCTTGCAAATTACCTTTCAGTTGATGTGTGGTGATAAGTTAACTCTGGTTTCTTCCTTCGATTTTTTAGGGATATAAAGCCTGATAATTTATTGATTACTCGTAACGGCCATATCAAGCTTTCGGATTTTGGATTGAGCAAGTCTCTGGAAAGCAAAAATTTTCCAGATTTCAAGGCGGAGCTTGTTGACAGGAGTACAAAGCCTGCAGCAGAACATGATAGACTCTCCAAGCCTCCTTCTGCACCGAAGAGAACTCAGCAGGAACAGCTTTTACATTGGCAACAAAACAGAAGGACCCTGGTATGGACTCGATTCTCTTATCTCTATCTTCCTATGGATGCTGTTATGTTCCACCTGAAGTTCTTCTAAACTATTTCATAAAAAACAATTTCTTTTCGACTTAGAATGAAGTAAAAACGGCATTTTTTTCTGTTACTTGAGAGAGAAATCAGATAACCTTTTTAATTTCCTTAAATGTCCTTGCAAGTTTTCTACTCTAGTTACTTCTATGGCTTCTGGACATTAAAAGATGGCTCTTACATGTACCGTTCAGGCTTTTTCTACAGTAGGCACTCCTGATTACATTGCACCTGAGGTGCTGCTGAAGAAAGGCTATGGAATGGAGTGTGATTGGTTAGTGAACCAGACCCTTGTGTTCTTACACTGTAACAAATAATCTAATTCAGTTTGTATTCTAAAAACTGTTTTGCAATAGGTGGTCCCTTGGCGCAATCATGTTCGAGATGCTCGTGGGGTTTCCACCATTCTATTCCGAAGAGCCTTTGGCAACATGTAGAAAGGTATGCATATATTCGCTTAAATAGCTTTTCGTGAGTCCTGATAAGTAACCTCAAAATTAGCCTATCCTTTGACACCAAAAGCGAACTAGCCATCTTTTGGTAACATCCAAGACTTGTCCTTATTATGTTTGACTAGTATAATATTTTTATCAAACAATTGCTCAGTTCATCTCTGCAGATTGTAAACTGGAAAACCTCCCTGAAATTTCCTGATGAAGCTAAGCTATCCATCGAGGTAAAAGATCTCATCCGAAGACTGCTCTGCAATGTCGAACAGAGGCTTGGAACCAAAGGAGTTCATGAAATCAAAGTACTTAAAACAACATCATTCGCTTTGCTTTCAAGACAGAAGCTCAACTCTAGAATGAAATTGTCACTTGAAATGTCTGATTTGTTTTTCATTACAGGCACACTCTTGGTTTAGAGGAATTGAATGGGAAAGATTATATGAGTCACATGCTCCATATATACCGAAAGTGAAGCATGAACTTGATACCCAAAACTTTGAAAAGTTTGATGAGGTTTGTTTTCATTTTACTTATTTCCTTCTAATAATTACTTGAACTTGAATATTGATTAAATTTTAAATTAGCAGGTGCCATCTACCTGCCAAACCTCTTCAAAGTCTGGCCCTTGGAGAAAGGTATATAGAAATTTCCTCTTGCTTTTTTCTTTCGTTATGTTCAAAACGAATTCTATCATTCTTAATAATAATGTTTTTACAAACTTATATGCAGATGATCTCATCGAAAGATGTAAATTTCCTTGGTTATACATTCAAGAATCTTGAGATTGTTGATGAACACTATATCCCTGGCATGGGTCAGCGACTATTCTTTTTTTTTCCCGCGTCAACGAATTTTATTATTTTATGGTTATTATAACAAAAAGCTCATAATCGTTTTGCTTTGAACTCTTTCTACGCAGCGGAGCTGAAACGGAAGAGTAAAACTCCAAAGAAACCTTCTCTCAAGACACTGTTCGGTAAAAGAAAAGCTAGAGACTTGGCTAAACTTCAATTTTGTCTCAAAAGTTTTGGTTTTAGCTTTTACTTGTTTTTGAAGATTCATTTTTGTTTTGTTTCTTTTTTTGTTTTTTCTGTTTTCTCGCAGAAACACCGTACCCTCCTCCTGAGAATCAAGCCTTACAGGATTTGCTTGATTCACCTATTTACTCTGAGGGATCTAGAGGCTCCTCTGGATCACCATTTTCACATCCTAATCAATCGCACAATCTTTCCCGGAGGTGATCAAAATGGATAATCTATAAGTGATTAAAAACAGGAAAAGAAAGAACTACATTGCAAAAATTTCATCCTTCATTTATGTAAAAAACGATGAACGCCCAAATGAAAATTAAACCAAAATGCATATAGGAAACTTTATAGTTTTAAAGAAGAATACAAAACATATTTACAGTGTTTCTATGACCCCTTGTAAGCTTTTTTTCTTTTTCTTTTTCTTTTTTATAGATACTTACATACATAAAAAGAGAGAATAAACAAATAAACAATTTGTACATAAGAATGGTTATTGGACTTCCCTTGATTTGACCACAATTGTTGAGTTGAAAATCGATTTTGCGATCTTAAAAGTTGATAAAAGATTACAAATTTGAGTTTCCATCATCGAATATTTCTGCTGAGATTCGAGCTTTGGTGGTGTAGTGATGGATGTACATTTTTCTCGATTTTTTTTTTTAAAGTAAATATCCAAAACTCGAAAAAAAAAGTAAATATCCAAAAGTAGTCAAATCGTTTCTTTTCAATTCAACTGTTGCATGCTCTTTTTTCTCGAATTGTCAATCCGAATTAAACAATTTATTATAAGAAACAAAGACAAAAAAAGAGAGAGAGAGAGAGAGAGTGAAAGTAATGGAACCTACTGACACAATGAAGGAAGAATCAAGCTATCTGACAAAACAAAAGGACTGATCAAAGAACTCATGTTCTTAATTTCCACTCTGCAATTACTGTGTTTTTTTCTCTTTACAGTTTAGTCTTTCCCAGAGATCTGTATTTTAAAAAAAAAACAATCATTATGGATCCAAAATACTCTTTTGCCTTTTTGCATTTGTTCTATATTTTTTCTTCCTTTTGACTTTTGTATTTGTTATTTCTTTTTTTTTTTTTTTTGTATTTGTTATTTCCCAAGTGTACGTACGTAATATTAAGGCTTGATGGGTAATTCGAGTTATCACTGATATAACTTGTGCTATTATAAGACTATACAGTTTGCATAAGATATACACAAACTGTATAGTCTCTACTTCGCCATATCAACTTTGTTATTTCAATTGTTTTCTTACACTTTTTAAACATATATTTTAAAGCCTCGTGAAAAGATCTTTTTAATATATATACACAGGCCTGTATATACATATATGTGAAGAAGCGTATAATCAAATCAAGTAATCTTTGAAAACATTTATAATCAAGTAAACTAACATACATTTTAAGAAATCTGTTTTTTTCAAAGTTGTTAGTAGCTTTATAGTAAACCGACAGAATTTTTTTTTCTAACTTGTAAATATCATATAAAATGAGAGTTGGGTATACAAAATTAAATCCCCTATACATGTTACCTTGGCATAAGAAAATAAAAAACAAGGCAACATATTGATTTCCTACGAAAGATTTAAGCCATAGAGAGAGCAACTAAAAGTTAGGCAAGCCATCGTTGCATTAAGTCTCGAAAATGCTTGCGGTGTCTTCTTGCTGAGATGGTGATTTTGAAGTACGATTCACATGAAGCTAAGTAAGAGTGTGACTAGGGTTTTTTAGTAATGAACTTGAGGAGTACTTAAAGTCCATGGACAGATTGCACGTAAAGTCGAATATTTATGCACACGTGTATAAAGAAGGCTACATCAACATGCTACAAAGCCCAATGACTCATTACTTAACAATATCGTTATCACCAGAAACTAAAAGCCTAGTCTTAATCAGTGTACAAATATAACGGATCTACAATATTCTCTAGGTAAGTGACTATTACCAACATAATCATGGTTGAAAGTTTGTGTATAGGCATAACATAATGTGCACCTTTTCGAATGTATATATCTCCTTGGGAACTAGTTCCACTGGTTCTTACTTCATGCATAATTTACTTAAAAGTTATCTTAGGATCTGATTGGTTGATTGCTTTAGAGGAAAGTGAAGTGGAAGAATTTTTATTTCAGTTGTATTCTACTGAAAATCCGGAAACATAAGTTAGAAGTTAAAACTTCCCTTTACAAAATGAATCACTTAACGCGATGTGCAAGTTAGTTCTGTCGAATCGTGAAATAATGCTATGTGTAGATTAGTTTTGATCGATCATCCTTATTTTATTTTTTGGTCTATTATATTGAGCTATCTCTAGAAATGTTCGAGCTCGACTTTACAAAGATTCAAATAACTCGATGAAAAAAGTTATATTATACTTAAGAGTCTTAGACCATGAATGTCAAGTAGTGTGCTTACATATCCAACACAACGAGGCAACGAGCACTCACGAATGAATGGTCACTGGACCTAAAAATCTCAAACTCATCTCAGCCGGATGTAGACCATGTAACTCACCGTTAAGAGTAATTGAGTAGTAACCCTAATTAAGGGGTACAAGTCTCCCATGTTTAAAGTTTAAACTTTCTGAAATATAAAACATTTATTACGCAGTTTTTTTTTAATCTCATTTACATATGTCAAGAATGGATAAGACCAACCAATTAACTCGCATTCCTCCAAAAATAAGAAAGAAAAAAACATAAAGCAGCCGAGTACAATTGATGGATTAATCTATTCATCTATGCTCTACATATACAAATGATTTTTGTGTGGATTAATCTATTTTAAAACTATTGATGGAGTTGTAATGCACGAACGTGGGTATAAGTGTTCATCATGAAGTCGACCAAATTAATATTCACATCCTAATGACGATAACGATACTTTGTGATGTTATTTCACAGATATGTTTGTAAAGATATGATTCTTCTAAGTTTAATATAGTAATGTACTTTTTAGCCATTTACTTGTTCTTGTGTGAAGTTGTCTATAAATACTTTTTAATATTATCCCACATATTGTTTATCTTGGGTTGTCGTATAATCATCATCTAAGGTGTTTAATTTGATTAAAAAAGAAAACTGAAAGCAGATGAAATTGAATCGAAATCGATGCGGCATAATGAATTCCAGTGAGACTATGTCCACCTTCACCTGCAATTTCAATCAACAGGTCAAGAGAAGTCCAATTATCGTGACAATAAAGTGGAGTTTTCTGACCTAATAGAAACATAAAAAAACGAGCAAGATTTATGGCTGCCTCCATAACCAATTTCTTGAAAAAGAATATTTACTTCCTAAAAAATCCGACCGAGGTCTCATTTGTGAAATTCAACTTCTTTTGTGATATTCATTATCTTTTGTGAAGGAATATCCAACTTCTTTTGTGATATTATATTTTTGTTCTGTCCAGATCGGCTTGCTAGCTAGGGTCCATTTTTGTTATACAAATAGTCTAAAGATTTTCCCTCTTGCCCACTACTAAAGTTACGTTGTGGCCATTTTGACATTATTTTTTTGTAGTTTATGAATTACAGTACTAAAATAAAATATAAAGCTATATAACCTTTTTGTATTAAATTTCAGTTTAGAAAAAGAATAAAATGTTCCTTTGAGTTTTAAAAATCTTTGATTGAATATGATGAATAGGGGTGAAATATATCTCAGATATACAAAAAAATTAAGATAATCAGATCAATGGATCTTCATTGCAAGTATTCAGATCAGAATTTGTCATTTTTGGTTCCGAATATTCAAAAATTAAGAAAATTTAAGAGTATTGTAAAGCATAATAAAAAAAATATTTAATAAATTTGAATTCAAATATATTAATTTAGTTCGATATTGATCCGAAATTTTACTATCTGAATCCAAATTAGAATATTTAGGAAATTCAAATTCTTTTTTAACAATATAGACAAATCTCGAGTCAAATTCTGAATAATTATTCTACCCTTATGAACGGTTTATATATTGCATCAAAGTATACCGATATTTTGCGTAGCATTAGTGATGTACCTGTCCTGCATATATATAAACCAAACACTGTTTGGATATTACATATTTTAACAAAAAAAAATGTATAGTCATAACCTCTCTCGTGGTGGATTCTGTTTGGCTAACATAGAAACGTATTCCTAGAATTGCGGCCGCATCTCAAAACTTTGCCGTTATCACTCATCACATCTCTTTTTGCAAGTATATCATTTCATCTTGAGTCTAACCAAATAAATACTTTTGTAATATCCTTTTTTATAAATATAGTTAACATCTTTTAACAATACATAAAATATATCTACGTGTATGATGTTAATGCAATGTTCTTTGAATATCAAAATGATAATCAAGTTCTTTTTGGAGTGATCTTGTCATAAACTCACGTCAAAACAAGAAACCATTATAATCTAAAGTATAAAAGAAAGAGAGGTGTCTTTGTTCGTATTCCATTAGTAATTTAAAGATTAATAAAATTTACAGGGTATTCAAACAATGATGTGCTTTTGTTCTCTCACAAATTAAGAATTTAATAATATCAAACTCTTTTATTCTTCTTGCGAGCGGAGAAACGTATTAACTTATATCCAATATCTTACTTCTATTCCAACGAATTATTTGCACCGAACAATCGATAACCAATATTATATTAGAACTTCACAAACTCAAGTAAACTCAGAAAGATAATCTAAACTAAAAAGTACAAGACTTGGCCATCGATCCATTTATCTATATGATTAATAATTAGACTATCTCACTTACTTTAACTTATATTTTGCGTCCATAATTAAATATTAATATCCGTTAATATTATATTCCGGTCCCTATGAAATCTCTCTCTCATCAACATGTAGAAGGGGAAGAAGATGTTCTTCTCATCACGAAAAGTCAGCGTCTCTCTCTTCATCATCAACCTTCCTTCTTCTTCTTCTTCTTCTTCCTCTTCTCAATCATTTCTCAAGAAAATCACAAATTTTCGCAAGAGAATACTCACAAGCACGACGCTAGAATCATAATCTCCTCTTCGATTCGTCATGATTTTATTTTCTTGATTTTGCGATCAGATTCTTTCGTATAGTTTGTATATATTATACACCAATTATACACTCATCATCATACATAGATTATGTGCAGCGTCTTTGAGCTTCTTGAGATGGACAACTTTCAAGGAGACTTAACCGACGTCGTACGAGGAATCGGAGGCCACGTGTTGTCGCCGGAACTTCCTCCTCCTCCGAGCATATGGCCTCTTCCACCACCATCTCCGTCAGATCTTCATATAAACCCCTTCGGAGATCCCTTTGTGAGCATGACCGATCCTCTCCTCCAAGAACTCAACGCCGTCACAAACTCCGGCTATTTCTCCCCTGCCGGAGATAACAACAACAGCAACAACAGTTTCTTGGTTCCTAAGGTATTGGAAGAGGATCATATAAAGAGTCAATGCAGTATCTTCCCAAGAATCCGGATCTCGCATAGTAATATCATCCACGATTCCTCTCCGTGTAATTCGCCGGCCATGTCGGCTCACGTTGTCGCCGCCGCAGCTGCCGCCTCGCCGAGGGGGATCATCAACGTCGACACAAACAGTCCTAGGAACTGTCTATTGGTAGATGGTAACACGTTCTCGTCTCAGATTCAGATATCTTCCCCTCGGAATCTAGGCCTTAAGAGAAGGTATAAATTTTAATCTTTAGTTTATGTTTCTTGATCTTCTAGATCAAATGATTCATTAAATGTTAGCTTTATAAGATATATTGAATATTTCGCAAGATGGTAGTAAGTTATATTATATGTATAACAAAATTAATTTTTGATTAATTTACATCATTTTCATGATAGCATATAGAGTAAAGTAAATTAGGGTTCTAGGCCACTTGGTAGCTAGGTTTATAGGAAACTATCCATCGCTGTTAACATTCGGAAAAATCGGATGCATTCATATGCCAATAATAGAATGAATTATTGTTTCTTTGTATATGTGTATGTATATACACTTTTTCATTATAATTTTTTTTTCTTTTTTTTACCATGATGATCAATACCATAATATCATTCATTTGTGTGTATATATATACACACAAAATATAACTATATATATTTGATCAGATTCATGAGAGGGAGGAGGGTTGAGGTTGAAGACACATGCATGAGAATCTATGAACTGTCACAATTAAAGAACATATTAATGTCCCAAACTGCGTTGCATCATGTCTCAAACCCAACTGATGATAAATAATGTCCCACTACCAAACTTAGCTTTCATATATACACACGTGTATATAGATAGAAAACCCCCACTCGTGTGTAAGTATATTTAAACTTGTAATGTATGCAGGAAGAGCCAGGCAAAGAAGGTGGTGTGTATACCGGCGCCGGCTGCAATGAACAGCCGGTCAAGCGGAGAAGTGGTTCCGTCTGATCTATGGGCTTGGCGTAAGTACGGTCAAAAACCCATCAAAGGCTCTCCTTTTCCAAGGTATTACACATTTACACTAACTCATCCATACAAATGTTAAATTGATGCACGGGTGTGATGGGTATATGGACCAAATGTCACATTTTCTCAAGAGGAATGTTGTTACAATATAAGAATATTTGAAACAACTTGAGGCAAGAAAAAATGTGGAGGTGAAAGAAAGTTTTAGTCCTCGATTCTTTGTTTAATGGGTAATGACATGGATACTTGTGAATACATCCTGTGTGGTATTCTATATTGTAGCAACATTCCTCTTGAGAAAATGTGACATTTGGTCAATATACCCATCACACCCGTGCATCGATTTAACATTTGTTTTACATATACGAAATTATGTTAGTTTGTTTTTAAAAAAAAAAAATTACTGACAAAAGCAAAAGAAAATGTCATTACATTGTCTAAGTACGTTTTGTAATTTCATCGTTCATAGTTTGTATCATTCTTTAATGGATAGAAGGATAAATTTGGATTCTTGATGAGTAGTATTCACAATGGTTTTTTTTACCGATCAAAACCATTATATAATTATGTAATTATAATGGATTTGGCTAATCTTGATGATTACTTAATTATGATTGTTAATATCCTCTCAGGGGTTACTATAGATGCAGCAGCTCAAAAGGTTGTTCAGCAAGAAAGCAAGTCGAGAGAAGCCGAACCGATCCAAACATGTTGGTCATTACATATACTTCCGAACATAACCATCCTTGGCCTATCCAACGCAACGCTCTCGCCGGTTCCACACGCTCCTCCTCCTCCTCCTCTTCCCCTAACCCTAATTCCTCCAAATCCTCAGTCGCAAACGCAAACGTAAACGCAAACGCAACCGCTTCATCTAGTTGCTCCCAAAACAACCCTCACTTGCCTTCCTCATCGACCACTCCTCCTCCTCTTTCAGCCTCCGCCGTCAAGGATGAACATCAAGAAGACGATATGGAGTTGGAAAATGTAGAAGACGATGAAGATAATCAGATTGCTCCTTATAGACCGGAGCTTCATCATCAGCACAACCAGCCAGATGATTTCTTCGCAGATCTTGAAGAGCTAGAAGGAGATTCTCTTAGCATGTTGCTTTCTCAAGGCTGCTCCGGCGACCGGAACAATAAAACGACGGCGTCGGACGGGATCAGCGATTTCTTCGGTTGGTCGGGAGAAAATAATAATAACGACGACCAGGACTCAAGGTCGTTATAGATAGTGTTAACTACAGAATAAAAACTTTAATTTATAATAAAGTTGGGTTAATGAGCTGGTTACTTGAGCGACCGTAAAATGTGTTATCGTCTTTTGTGATACTTTTTTTTTCCGGCCGATCCGTCTGTAGTTAAAAATACGAGAAGCCGCTATTTTTTTGTTTTTTTTTTTGTGAGAGTATTAGATTAATGTGAAAAAGACAAAATATATAGATTTCGAAAGTATTGTTTGTGTCTATTGGAGTTGAAACAAAGCATTTTTTACGTGCCCACTCTTTTTATCACTTTTAGATCGAAACTAGATTTTTGCCATGCGCTGTTTTGTTTTGATTTATATCGACAAAGAACTACCAGTTAACAATATTAAACTTTTTGTTAGGTAGAGAAAATTAATTGACATAGAAAAAGGTAGTATAATACTGATTTACAACTTGACCAAATCATTATTTGTCTTATATAACGTAAACATCAATTATTAATTATCTAAGTTTTATAAACACAAGATTTGTGACCGTATACTTAGTTTCGAACGATTTTTTCCTTAAACTTACATGCATAATTTGTTTTTCTTACAATGTTAGAGTTAAAAATTTGAATCAAAATTTCTTTAATTGATATGAAACATATAATGGACCGAGTTAAATGCAATTGTACTAGTAAATAACTAATATGTAATGAAATATTGCTGCTGGTATGGGAGCAGGAAAAGTGGGGCGAAGGAATATTAGGTGGATGGGACACAAAGTGAATCAGTTCGTTCATCTACAGTTCAATCACCAGACGCATCCAATAACAATACAAAGCTATGGAGCTAAGGCATATTTCTATTTATCGAATTTGATATTGTTTCTAAAATCAAATTTAAATATAAATTTTTAAACAACTACTCCTAAGTTATTTAATGTCATATATCGTACGTGGCTTCTTACAAGTTTTTTTTTTCATGTGGACTGGATTTTGATTACATACTTCAACAACCAATTATGTGTTTAAAACTTTTCTTTTTTGAAAAACAATCATAGAAAAATATTTAAAAATGATAATTTGTAGCTGCTGTTATCCTTTTCAAACAAAATAAAATAAAAACTATTTATCAAAATGAGCATATTTACACACATGCATATTTGCATACATATATAGTCGGTATCTGATTGTGTTAGAATTTTAGTGTGATAATTTGAAATATTTAGCGACATGATTATTTATGAAATATAAAGTTTACTAGATTTGATGATATATCGTATTTATATACTGCTACTTCTTTGTTTGTCAACAGTTTTTAACATTGTACTGCTAATTTCGGTTATCATTGTATTAAAAATGGATTCTTACCTCAAACTAATATATTTAATATTCTTTCCTAAGTCTCTATTTTATATATACTAATAAGAAATCATTAAAGAAAAAATATTAAATAGTATAATAGTATTTATTGTTTTGTTAAAAAGTATTATAGTATTCAATAAAAAAAGTTTCACATAGTTTGGTAAAATTTCTGGTGTTTGAACTATAAATAAATAAATATTAGATCTGCAATTGAATATTTTCATATACAAGAAAATTATTACTTAATATTTATTATACCAACATGACTAATATTATTTCAGATTAACAGATGTTTTCATTGTTACATCCCCATTATGTTAGGAATTTTGTTTAGTATGTTGCTATAAGGATATGATTGGAGGTAATAATTCTTTGGATCTATATGTATACATATATAGAGTAGGAATAATTTTTCAATCAGACCATGCATGTGGACGATCTTGAAAGGCAGGGAGAAAAGCCCCAGTTTCACGGCTTTCTTAACGGAGAATTTAATTTGGAATCCCACTATAATGATAATATATTCCGAAAAGGCAAAAAAGGTTAATATACATACAATGTTGTCTTAAAATCGTCGTTTTTCTAATGTACGTACATTCATATACTTCGTGAAACTGTTACACCTTTGTTGCAACTAGATTACAACGGTTAATAGCACGTTTCAGAAACAGAAATTGTTAATCTATAGCATTGTACTACACTGCTACTCTATGTCAGTTTTTTAGAAGTGATTCTAATTAGCATCAATTATTTTGTTAATACTTTATAAGTGATGTTATCTGCCTTATTTCTTGTAGTGAATATATCATATCTAATACTACCTATTTTCTATATACTTATTTGTGTAGTGATTTGTTTAGGTATCGTATTTACAGCGAGTTTCAGAGTTCTTCACTTACGTGTCAGTTTCAAAATGAGTTTCAGCTGCAAAAAGACCGGTCAACCTCATTTTGTAATTACGTGTCATTTTTATTGGTTCTTATCCGATGATGTGTAAAAAAAACTTAAAACAAACCAGTACAAATTATTATGGTTTAATGCTTTATTTCGCTGTCAAATCAAACCGTTTCTAAAATTTTAGAAAAATGAAATTTAAAAAATAATCTAACAAAAAAGTTAAAAAAAAATAGAGAATTTATATCTCTAACTAATGGAATATCACTAAAAGAAGGAAATCATCTCTAGCCAATAGAATGTCGCTAATTATGATATATAGGTTAGTGTTTACGATTTTTTATATTTATAGGATTTTCGATTTCTTATGTTTATAGGATTTTCGATTTCTTATGATTTAGTATAAATATCAACCATTTTTCTCTAATAAAACCGATATTTAGTCAAATCTAACGAAAATGTAAAATCAATAAAAAAAATGTTTAATGAAATAACGGTATTTATGATGTCTAGATTAGGGTTTTCGACTTTAAATATTTTAGTATAAATATGTATGACTTCTCTCTACTTCTCTCACACCCTTCTAAATTTTTTGACTCCTTACTTCGTTTTTGAATAAGTTCTTACGATACTTAAAAACTACGTCTAAAATACATAGAACAGTGATCAAAAGATCTCAAAACTATTTAAAATAAACTATTTGAATATTCATATATTTTTATCTACTTTATTTTACATTGTTTTTACGGTAATGTCTTCAAACATTAAAATGTAAAGAAATATAACAAACAAATATACTCAACAACAGAAAATATAAAACAAATAAACTTAAACTGCTATTCAATTTTCAAATAATCAAATAAAAAAAATTATATCAGTCCACGCAAGATGTGGGCAAATTCACTAGTTAGTACTTTTTTTAAAATTATCAACTAAAATACTACACCGGTCTTGTAAAAAAATCAAAATACATAATTTTTTATGCGAGAATATTGAAATGAACAAAAAATCGATTAATACATCATTATTATTCTCGTATATATAATTATAGTCTCTGCTGATATTCAAAGTAAAAAAAAGAAAGCAGCAGCACGTTTGACATACTCATACACATATGTCATATAAATGTATAAGGTATATATATATATATATATATATATAAATTATAAACCTGAATTATATGACATGATACATGAGAGTGTCAGACAATCAGAGCAGCCTTTATCAATATGTTGTCCCGCGTTATTTACGCGACCGATCTAACCAATGTGTATGTCAATTTTAATTCCATCTTTGTCTTTTTCTCTTGCCAGATTTCTAAATTGAAAACACATATACTAAAAAAGAAATCTGTAAATTCTACTTTTTCTTTTTATAAAAAGAAACCTGTAATGTTGCTATGTAAATATTGTATTGCATAATTTACACGAGTTATATAGTTCTAAGGGGTCATAGTGAGGTAAGTTCTTAGTTAAAATATATAAAATTGTTTCCAAAGCTGATTTGAATTGAGCAACGATAAAGTAAATACTTCTAAGTTTTCTTTTTTTTTAATCGAACATGGTAAGATTCATACCATTTTCAAATTTTACAAAGTTGTGGAAGCCACTTATTACAAGAAACAAAAAGAGAGTGAAAAAGAAAATTACAAGCGCTAGCTAATAGAACCAAGATGCTGGAAATACAACTGGGACGAGATGGAACTCGGAGGGAAAGAAAGAAGAACTAAGACCATGTTTATCGGTTGATCCTCTTGGGTTTCTCTTTAATTATTGGGCTTTTTTTTAAATCAAAAATGGGTTTAATTAAGCGGATCGATCCTTCTTTTGCGACTTAAAGGATCGATTCTCTTGGTGTACGTGGCAGACCGCGATAGGCTGTTGGATTGGAGAGAAAATTCTGAGGCAAATTTTTTTTTTGTTCCGCGACCATTCTTCTCTCTCGCGAAACATTCTCGACATCTCCGTCGCCTCTGATTCCTCCTCGCGTCTTCTCCGACTTCGTGGTGGCGGCGGCGGTTCTACTTCTTCTCCTCAAATTCTCCGACGTATCTTCGTCCCAATCTCCTCCTGAACAGCGGCGGTGCTTCTTCATCTACTTCGAACCGAGTGGTGAAATAGGTGTGAAGATTCAGAGCTTTCAAATCCTTGCATGGTATGTAATTTCGTTATCAATCCTCTCCTTTATCTCTTACAAGTGTTATTTGCTATAAACCCCTTTGGTAATCGATATAGCTTTTGTTAATCGATTTGTGTTTAGGCTAAATCTTGTTTCATATTCGATTGAATTGGAAATTTTGTTTCTGGGATTTGGCTTAAGACGTTTGTATTCGATTCTTAGATGCATATGATTTGGTTAAGATGTTTTGATTTGGGGTAAGGTTTTTCGATATGGTTTGATATGATTTGATATGATTTGGTTTGACTTAGAGAATGAAACTTCATAGACTTTGTTATTTTTTGATCGATGGTTTTGTTGGTTGTGTAAACTTCTTATAAATCATGTTTTGGTGTTTGTTTTTAAGTTGGCTTTGGTGCTAATCTTTTGTTGTTTGTTCCAAGCTTTGGTTGCAGGTTTGTCCTTGTTCTTCATCAAACAAAGAGGAGAGAGGGATCATTCAACCAATATGTAAGGTTAGTTCACTGCTCTGGTTAGTTTAGCTTTGTAAAAGGGTTAGTGTAGCTTTGTATAGGTATTAGTGATTAGGCGTGTAATAGAGTGATAGTAATAAATGGTTTAGGGGCTTTGGTTCGCTTTGTGTTGAATGCTGGTATGGTGATGAATGCTTTGTGTCATGTCGATATGGTTGTGTGTGTGTTGAATGCATTTGTGCTCTTTCTTCTCTTCTCTTGTTCCCTTTTTTTG